AGCCTATAATAGTGAGGTGCAGGCAGTGGTGACCGGGGAGAAGGAGCCACCTTGGCATTGGGGACGCCCAACCGAGACACCTGCTGAGTGGGGACCCAGGCAGCTGCCTCCTGTCACCAATGCTCATGCTCTCTCCTCTGTGGTGATTGAGGTATGTTACCATGCTTGGGTTAGTCAGTAGGACACTTTGTAGCTTAGTTTACTTGTTTCCTCATTTTTCTCTAACCCCTGGATGTCCTTGGTTTTCTGTGCAATATAAATCGTGTCATACCGCACCCAAGATCGAGCGTGTGTTCCCTTGCTGCCTAGAATCCACAACCCACCACTGCAGCCAGATAGAAACTTTAAATATAGTCTTGACCAAGTGACAGCTGTTTTCTGCTTGAATGCATGAGACTTTTCAGTACAGGGCCCACATTCCCCTCGTATTTTAAGTCTGAATTCTGCTCATGCTTCTGCAATGGTTAAAAGTTGCTACTTGCATCAGGTGTATTTCTCCATGGGCCTGTGCTTCTGAAGACCCTGAAGTAACAGCCTTACCTGATCCAACGTGGAAAACTCGGGAGGAAGATAGAACACAGGTGGCACGAAAGGAAAAAGACATGCAGACTGCTCTGGCCAAATATACCAAGATCACCTACAGAGCTAGCCAAGATCATGCTGAGTTCCCTTGGATATGGTAAGTAGATCTCATTTATATTATATGCCAGCATCTCTAGCAGATGAGCCTAGTGCTTGGTGCACGTTACACACTTTTGGCTATATCCAGCTTAATATAAAAGCAGTCCAGTTTCTGTTCTGTCAGTTGGAGGGGAAGTGGCAGGAGAAGCAAGGCTGGGATAAGAGGTAAGAAGGTTTTCCAGCAGTACAAATGAAGCCTCTGGGCTCTCACATCTCAGGCACATGTTTTTGCCCATGTGCTGCTCTCTGGCTGCGCTATTAAAGCATCTCTACTTTTATATCATCTGATCTTCACTAAAAGAATAGATGCCAGTTAACATAATAAAAAAGCCAGAAAGTTGCACTCTTAATTTGCTGCCTCAGAGCCCAAGCCTTGCATTTGTTCCTGTTAACAATCCATTACACTGGTAGCACAGAGTTTGGGATGACCAGGGACCAAGATGCTAATCAGCCCTGAGTGTATAAGTCCTACTTTTTCTTTCTTAATTACAGCACTTGTGTTTATGAAGGGAAAAATCCTAATTTGGGAACCGAGTGTCTTATTACATGGAAGTGAGGCAGCCAGAAGAGAAGCCCTTTTCTGTGTGCCTGTGCCAGGTAGACTGATAATCTAACTGGCACCAAAAAAAATAAATACTGTTACCACACACTTTTACCTGTTACCACCTAACAGTAAATGGAGTATACTCAATAGTAAGGCTAGCCAGTAAATGCCTGCCAAGTCAGGGATTGCACAAGTAGATAAAAACATAATGTACTCATGAGAGTTATTTGACAAATGTTTCATCACATGTTGTTCTTATGTACCATATGCCTAAAGGGAGTTTATAAAGAAACTGTACATATGACCTGGCAGCTGTTAAAATATACTCTTTACCAGCACTTCTGAATCAATAGCACAAATTGCAGCTGGTGTGGGGGCCTTGGGTTTGTGCAGAGGCTCTAATTGCCCTAAGGAGCCTGCAATGGCCTGTAATTGCAAGAACTATCTCTCCCCACCCTGCCAGGTTTGGCTGCCAGTGTTCAAAGGCAACTCTTCAGTTGTAATTCAGCTTGGATCAGCCTGCTGGGAACAAGGAATCAGAATTGTATATGCTAGAAGAGACCTATGGAAGTTCAACCCCCTGCTCGGAGCAGATCCTGTTACAGCAGGTAGCTCAGGGCAGTTAGGTTGTTACAAAGGGCCTCCTCAGGGGTGTTCACACCCGCAGCCTCTGGCAGTTGGCGTGGTGCCTGCATTCAGCTCCAGCCCTAGCCCTGGGCTGTGCTGTGCTGCAGAAATGCCTGTGACCAGCCTTGTACCTTGCTGCCCGTGTGCACGCCTTGTTGACACAGCTCCCCAGCTGGACCTTGGCACTAAGGACTGCTCTGGCAATGGGTGCAGTGGCTGACTCTGGTTACCGCCGCAGGACCTGCTCTGCTGTCCTTGTTTTGGGAACTGTGGGGCAGTGCCCTGTCGGTGAGGTGCCTGCTGTGCTGTAACCCTGAGCTCTCGGCTTGCTCTCTTGTGCAGCGTGTCTCCAGACCAGCTGCTCCCTGGCACCTGCAAGGGGAAGAGCAAGTATGGGAAGATGAGGACTGGAATCGTACAAAAAATGTTATTGGTAAGGCATCTTGAAGATCATCTTGTTTCTTTCTGTCTTCTCCAAGCACAAATGAATGGGTGCGGCTTTTCAGGGTAGAGTACCTTCAGTCTGGTGTATGCTTGTTTGCAGAGACAGAAGGATGCCTTTTATATATATATGTATTTTTAGCATTAGCAAAAGAACGAAGTAAGTATTTATGCTCTAAAGAAACCAAACTACTAATTGTGAACAACAATATGTGGTCATGCACTGCCCCTTTGATACAAACCCAAGCCCACACTGAGCTTTGAGCTACCATATTTACAACATGGTATGGTCTCCCAGCAAGAAAGAGCTTGCTCCACTGTTGTGTAATAGCTAAAATACGGTGCATAGTACTGTTCTGTCATTTTCCCATTAGTTTTGGAGGAGGAGTATGGCTTCCTGAAGCAGAGGCAGCACTTGTCCTCATTAAGCAGGCAAAACAAAGAATTTAGCCTTTAAAACACTAGGACAAAACACCTAGAGCTTCTTATTTAGGCTTGGTATTAATTATGGAAAACTTAAGCAAGCCTGCTGCGAAAAGTCTGTGAATTGAGATTACTCCTCCAGGAATACATTTCATACACATTTCAGGAATACAAAACACATAGAATCAAAGATTAGGCTAATCACAGCAGTGATAAATTGGTCCTATTTGTAGCTTTCCTCTGGCAGAGCTGCAGGATTCGGTCCAAGTGTGCCTGTGTTTACTGGCAATTTGTTTTTCCCCTTAAAGGATAATAATGTCTTCCGTAGATTATTATCTAATTATTTGAGCAAAGACAAATGACTTAGAGCCTGTGCTGTCTGACCACGAGTAATTTCAGAACTTAATTCTCACTGACTGTCACTATGATGAGCTCTTAAGTACTTAAGGTGCATTTAAAATGGGTTTGGGAATGAGTTAATTATGTATGTTAGGTAGTCTGTATTGGTTTAATTTTGTGGTGCAGTGAATGCATTAATTAGTTTAGACTTACTTGAGAGTTTCTAATTTGCCAGTCGAGGATTTGTGTTATATTCTCTGTGGATGTAGAAGCTCTATGGGCTTCAGTGGTGTTATTTTCCTCTCTAAAAAGGACTATGTTTGTTTTTAGGTGCTGGTTTTTATAATACTGAAGGGATCATCCCCCCACCTGCTGCAAACACACCCACTGCATGTGTGTGAAGTCTGTCTGGTCTAAGTATATCCTTGCCATTTTCTTTAACACATGAGTCTGAGTACTTTAGCAGATACATTACAGATTTATTAGGTTGAATTATTTGTCTTGTAAAATAAAAATAATAATATCCCAACTGTTTTTTCAGCATTCTTATAAAATGAGTCATTTTTCTAGCATGTATGAAAAGAGGTAAGGCACCCAGTGATTTGCAGAGAAATACTACACTGATTTTACAGGAAGGTGTTTTAAAGATTTCTGGGAGTTGAGACAAGTATTTGTATAAAATGTTCCAACAAAATATAACTAAAGTTAAGCTAAGTTGGGATTTGAAATCACCTGAAATCAACTAATAGGATACTTCAAAAATATGGTTAAAAAAAAAGCAGTTTTGTAGTTGAACAATTTCTGGTGCGTTACCAGAGGAAAGAGTTTTTGGACAGATATTCTGAGCAGCCAGCCATCTTCCTACTGCCTGTAAACATAAAGTGAACAGAGAACATTTTCATCTAAGTTTTAAGGAACTTTTTTCCTATGGAGGGAGAAATAGTGTCCATCTTTATTTTCCTGCCTTCCTCTGGTGTCTACTTTTTGTTCTCAAGCTTAAACAAATGGGGAAAAGGTTAAAGTGCTGTAGCTGCTAAGCAAATATCTGTTTTTTTCTCTTAATATTTGATCACAGCATCTGCATTTTGTTTCTTGTTGAAATTCACCTGCTGAATCTTTGGTCAGATTCACAGCCCAGCGCTCCTGCTAGCAGAGCCACCTCAACTGCAAGCACCCAAATTGCCACAGCTTCTGTCTGGCAAAGTTACACAGTTTTCTAGTGTCAGTTTCAGCTCCGATCTAGACAAATTCGAGTGTGTTTTGTTTTGACTGGATCGATTGTCTTCATTTTGGGGAAAAAAAAAAAGTGTGTTATGTGAGATCACCCCTTTTGGTATACCTAGAATTCTACTGAAATGTACTTCTAAAACATGGGTAGGAGCTTAACTGATAAGGGAAACCATCAAGGTCAAGAACTCTTTATTTTGCCTAAATTGTGCCAACTGCACTAATGCATAATTGATAATCAATATAATTTGATAACATCTGATTGAAAGGCTACATTACTTCAAGTGCAGTGCAATTGTGAATGTGAATTAGACCATTTGGAAAATTGATAAATTCGGGTGAAATGGCATGCTTTTGCTTGCTGATGAGTCCTGATTAATATATAGGCAGGTAATCCCCTCACCCTGAGGAGCTGTGCTCATTGAAAATGAGCTTTGCTGGGATTTATAACCTGTATCAATGCTTGGAGACCAAGGTGATGTAAAGTGCTGACACAACTGTGCTTTGGACCACTTGAGCTACATCTCTGCTTTGTTAACATCAGACAGGTATGTTCCTACTGCAGATGCTGCTACAGCTTTAGGCAGACCATCTTTAGGAAGATGGTGGCTGGGAAGTATTTGTGTTATGTTTTGCCCTAAATCAAAACAACTCAACTAGAATCAGCACTTGTTCTGTTTTCACTCATGAAATTGTAAAAGTGGAACCGATTCCCTTCTCAGTATTTTTTTCTAATAACCGTATCAAATGTTAGAGAATCCATTTTTTTCAGAACTTTCAAAGCACGTTCTGGAATCAACCTGAAAGAGATAACAACATGAAAAATTTAAATCTATGATAAAATAGGAAATTATGGAAAAAACTGCAGGATGAGTGAGAGAAGAGCTGGTCTAGGAGCAGAAAATATGCACACGTATTGATCAACTTCAGACCTGAAACTAGGAATATTTCCAAAGTATATATATACACACCTCAAGTCTTTTTCTAGATTTAATTCTGATTTGACTCTAGATTTAACTTTTCTTCTTTTGTTAAGATTTCAAGGTAGGATTTTGGCTGCAATACTGCTGAAGGATCAAATGTGGTTTAATACTAAACAGACACATGTACATAAGGAGTGTTTTCCTCATTTGACAAGGAGCAAGCTGATGAAATGATCTGATATTAAATATAAGAACGACATGAGATATAGTTTCTTTTCTGAGGATTTCTCTTCCTTTTGTCCTGAATTTTGCCTATTTATTCCCCATGTCCTAAATAAACATACATATTTTGAAAATTATTTTGTGAAGGGCTCTGATACCTTTAATTTTTTCTCCTCAACAAAATAAATGGTATTATACTGAGACTGTGTGGTATTTTTTGTTAAGTTAGACCCAGGTTCATCAGGTTATTATGAAATGTTTCTTCAGACACTATAGAAGTTAACTGAAAAGTTATGTCAGTTGTTCTGATGTGAATTCTAGGTTTTGGTCATGAACTCCAGTGATATCTTGCTTCACATGGATCAGAGAAACGTTGGAAGCCCTTCTAAGATATTGCCTCAGCCTCTGTGACCTATATCTTCTGTGGTTAAAAAGAAGAAAGGAGAACTAATAAGCAGGAGTTCCGTAGCTCATTCTGAAACTTCTGCTGGTTTAGAGAAATGTGGATGGAAAACACCTATTTATTAAGTGAAATGCATTCTTCTCCTTTTCTTTCCCTGTCAGACCCTCAGCTGTGTTGTTCATTATTATTTAGTTACTTAGGAAAAAGTGAACTGTCAGGAATTAAAATGAGACTCAAAAATCTTTCTGTGTATAAAATCTACTGCTGTCATTGGAAACATGCCCTCTCCTACTTCATTGCCTTGGAACTTGGCCTTTTTGTATACTGCAGAATTTGATATGTTTTAAAAAAAATTAAAATCTCTCCTACAGATATACATGGTCAGGTCAAGACAAGCATACTGATGTCAAAGATGATATGAGTATAATAATGGAAAATAAATCAAACTCAAGTGAATATATATTTCTGGGGCCTGAAGATAAATCCTCTAGAAGGGGATTGCTGTGCTGCCAAACCTGTCTTTTACTATTATGAGAGCAAAACGTACCCTCTCCTACAACAAAGCTTGAATTAAAAATTTAGAAGTTTGATGTCTGTAGCCTTGAAGTTAATGATATTGGATATGTTTTTAGTTTTTTTCTTTTGATACTCACTTTCCACAGAATAATGCAATATTTAGATTTGGAGGAACAAAAATCATTTTCTTATTGGTCAGTATTCCCTCCATCAGTGTGTTTACAACTTCTTCAATTTCCAAAATCTTTCCAAGCCTAAAATGAAAGGGAAACAGAGATTTAAGTGACATGAGTAAAACATGGTATAAGGGAAGAGGGGTGCTGTTGAGCATGAAGTGGGGTGAGTCAAAGGCTTGTCATGAACACGGGTAGCTCAAATACAACTATTTTATATGGATTAAGTGACACTGCACATTTTCTTCAGTCAAGATATATTTGTATATACAAATTTATCTCACTTTTTATATGCTTGATTACCAGAGCTGAAAGAGGAATAAATATTTCATGTATACATGCAAAGAAGGAAAAATAGAGATTGGATATTTTTCTTCTCCTGTTACTTTACCTTGAGCTTGGATTTTTCACGAAGCCAGTGTTTACAAAAACTGGACAAAGACAAGATGTTTTTATTCCATCCTTTCCCAATGTAGACAGCTCTTCTGTTAGAGCTTTATGAAATCCAACTGCAGCAAACTTGCTGGAACTGGGTGTGGGGGGAAGAAAAAAAAAGGCATGAATGTGAAGGCAGGATTCCTTTTCAAATTTTATACCAATTAAGAATGACTGAAAAATTATGGCAATACTGTATTGGGGAAAAAAAAATAATTTACCAGAGGGACAAGGACAGGTCTAATTCTAACTTTGCCTATACCACAGTAGATTTCTGAGTTAAATATTGCTACCTAGAGAAGAAATTATGGAAATGGGGTGGATACCTTTCTCAAAAAGTCAGCTTAGTGGTAAACAGTCTGATGAATGTTCAAAATTCTTAGAAAATAAAAATACTGTGTGTAAGTCTATGGAGTTTGCCTTTCTCAAATGTCAGGTGCATTTAAAAGGAGCAGTTTCCATTTTACAAAGCCTGAGGTGTCTATAAATGGAAAAAGGTCTCACTATGGAATAAAATCTGGTGATGGAATTCAACATCAGTCTAAAATTAAGAAGGATGCAGACAATAGAAACAGAGAACAATCATCCACTGTTTGTTGTAACACAAGGAAGCATCATGTGACATTCACACACAGGCCTTAAAATAAAGAACCATTATGCATACAGCATGCAGGAAATTATTGCCACAGAAATTTGTGTGGGACAACAGGATAAATCAGTTCCTAACTACAGTCAAATGAGAGGTGTTTAGTACCATTAAACCTGTCTTTACAATCCAGGTGAAACCCCTAACTCAGGAGTTATCAAGTTGCCGTCAATGGCTGCAGGAGATGGAACATATCACAGGAAAGGTTGCTTCATCCTGAACCACTATCACAGAGAGGTTTTAATCCGATTCAGGATGTACATTTTTATATTCGTATAGCACAATTTTCTTGATTGTTTCATGTGCTTCTAGTGGGTACATGAATGTCTGAGTTGTCAGGTAGGTTGTTAACAGCACTAAATGATAGCATATTTCGTGCTTTAAATGTTATTTTCATTTTTTTTTAAGAGAAGGCTTTATAAGAAAGGAACTTAGAACTTTACATTGCAAGGACAAAAGCTGTATGATAAAACAGAAAGGTGCAGTCTGCCTTCTCAGACATGTCCGCTTGCTACTTACTGAAAAACTAATATAAATTTCACTAAGATGATTTGCCACATCATTGTTCCTTCATGGAAATATTGTTCCTTGATTGAATCAGCAAAGCATTTGGTCCCTCTGTGCGTGGTAACATGTGGTTTGTTTTTTTCTTAGCATCATCTTTTGGAAGCACATTTTTAAATTGGAAGGCTCTCTGTTATGCTGTGTTTGTTGATGGGGAAGCCACATTTGAAAAAAAAAAATGAAGAGGTGTGAATATTTTAAGTCACTCACCAGTAAGCCAGCATGAAAGAAGTTACACCATGACCTGCTGCAGAAGCCACTGTGACGATATGACCATAATTGTTGTCCATCATTGCTGGCAGAAAAGCTTTTGTTGTCTTAAAAGGATAAAAAAAGGCAGAAATGGGAGGGAGAGAGAACAATGTTGTCTTATGCATATTCCATACCAATTATTTGTATATAAATGACTAAAATTGTTGTGTATTCATTTAGAATTTCACAAACAAGCAACTAGATTTTTCAGCTGCTGTATCCCAATATAAGCACTTAAGTTTGGCATCATGTAAGATTTTGAAGTAGACAGATACTACTTTTTTTCCAATTTCACTGGTAATATTTTCAACCTTTTTTTTTTTTTTTTAAAGGGTGTTTTGGATAAGTATTTTTTCCCATGCGCTTCCTTAGGTTTCAGTTGACAGAGTGTACAATAAAATTTCTCAATATGTAGCATGTCTTTTATTTCATTGCAAACAAAAACTCTTTACTACCTGTAATTCTCTTTTTTATAACCCCTGCTAAAATCTCCCACCCCAGCTGTTGTACCTAGTACCTGTAGCTGTTGTACCAAGGATTCAAGTAGCCCTAGGTCCAAAAATACATAACCTTGACTCAGACTACTCAGAAAGAACAGTGAAAAGATCTGTAAAGAGGTAAGAAAGCTAAAAGTAACAGAGGGAGGACTGATAAGCATGTATCCATTCAAGGATCCACTAGGTAAAAGAGTGTCACAGGAAGATATAAAATCCTACAGGCGTACAGCTCAGGGCCACTAGTTGGCCTGGTGGGCACCATGAGGGTGAATCCAAGAGGTCAAGCTGCCGGAGCCACAGGTGTCATTGGAGCAAGGGACACAGAGCTCAGCAGTGCTGGGGAGCTGAGCTTGTAATTATATGGATAAGCCATGACCATGCCTTTCAGAGGCATAGGCAGCTGTGCACAATTAAATGTGGCAACAGCTATAAATAATAAGATGTTAGGGAATAACTGATCAAGTAGCGCAAGATTGTAAGGCTCATGCATGAAGGCACATGCTGAAGAATTTTAAGTCTGTTAATGTTTTACCTAACACAGGCACTGTGGTGTTGTATGACAAGGGCGTGTGATTGAACTGCACGTCCCTTTAAGTGTAAAATATAGCACTTCCGTGCTTCTCATTTATATCACACTTAGCAGCTTGCTTTTCTGTTTAGTACTTTACCTGTGCTATGTTAAAAAGGAAACATGATTTCAAAACATGTCTATTTTAAGACAATCGACGTTCTAAACTTATGTCCTTAATAATATACACACAAAAAACATGAGAGACCCTTACCCAGAAATGAGCGAGAATGTTCACTTCAAACATTTTTTCAATTTCTCCATCCCGAGTTGAGAGCAGGTCTGCAGTTGTAATCACACCAGCATTATTCACCAAGATGGAGACATCTCCAATGTCCTTTTTCACCTTAATAGAGAGAATGTAAAGATGCTGTTCACTCACTGTCAAAAAAATACATTACAAAAGTAACACTGTAACTAGTTTTAGATTTAGAATTGCTTTTTAAGGGAGAGAAAGATCATACTAAATATCCATATTTTATAGGACTTACACAGTATAAAACAGTCTTTGTACATTTGATGTTCTGCTATTAATTAATCCCAATATTCTTCTAAACACATTCCCACAAAGTGTGCTCTGTGAGGTCACATTTGGTACTATGGACACCCAGAATGATTTGAGCCATATGAGTCAGATTCTCAGCTATAGAAGTATTCAAAGGTCCTTGGTACTCTCTATATGTTGTACAGGATAATGCAGGCAAAAAGTTCTTTCATGGTTTTTAAAGTCTGAAGAATGAACTCTGAAAAAGGCACGATACTTAGGAGACTTACAAAAGAGGATGAACGTGGCTGCAGTATGTGAAGTGTTACATCGCTCTGTACAGAAAGCAGCAGAAAAAGGGTAACATTTCAAGGACTTGAAAGATGAGAGAGAAACAGAAGGAGGGGGAGAGAGACCTCATGTTTTGTTTTCTATATTTCTTCAAATCAAGTGTGTCTGTGTCAATTTACAACAAGCAACTCTTCCTTATACCTTTTCTGCAGTACTGTAGATTTCCTCCTTTTTACTGCAGTCCACCACAAAAGTGTGCACAGTGGCACCCAGCCTTCTGCATTCCTCTGCTGTGCTCTCAATGCCATGCTGCAAGAGGAAAAAAGAAAAATGTGCTCAACTGGACCTTGACCACGTTTTGTCCTTTGGACATCACTACAGATAAGCTAAAGGCTAAAGGTGTATCCACACTGTGCAATTGTTTTTAATCCTCTTTTAGCATTCAGGGTTACAAAGAGAAAGGAATGTACTCAGGATTTCTAAGAGAATCAGTATCTGGCCTTACATTTAGGACATAGACTGTCTGCTAGAAAGGGAATATGGTGATACGACTGACTTGGCCTTGGCAAAGCACATTTATCCAGACTATAGAAAGGGGGTAATGACTTTTAAAGCACAGCAGGCAGACAGTCCAACTCTAAGCAGTGCTTTTAAAACATAAATCCAATTACAGCTTGGGGATATAAAAAAGTGGGCCTACAATTTTAAATATTAATTGGCTGATTGTGAGAAGGGAGGAGCATTTCATGTCTACAATTGTAGACGGACATTTGTTACGAGAACAGTATTTGACAAATATGTGACAGATCTCTTAAGATGAGTTTCTGGACACTGCCTACCCAGAACGAAGGACTCAAAGTGTGTTTCCAGTGGAGGGTCAGACCCCAAGGACTACTCCCTGGAAACAAGAATGTTTTTTTTTCCTGATATGAATAAGAAAGTATAAAATGTCTGTCTTGGTTCTTTTTCATTATTTTGTTTTAAGCCTTGTCCTTCCCTTTCCTTTCTCACGTTCTAAATGGATGTTCTCTGTAGTCCTGCCCTAGAAAAGAGAACTTCTGCTTTAGAAAAACAGAATTTAGGATCAAATGCTTTCAGTCAAAAACGTCAGACTCATTTTACTACAAAAATAATAATTAAAAAAAAGTTGGAAAAAGATCGTTACTATTTTAGGGGAAAATTATGCTTGATGACATATGAATTTCTATAAGCAGAGCATGCAGCTTAAGTAAATCCACTGCAAACAGAGCCATTGCTTACAGGGACCTGAGAGATTTGGCTTTCTCTTCCAAGTGTCGCTTCTGCACATGAGCATTCACACCATAGCTCTTATCCTAGATCACTCCAGAAAACAACTGTTCTCTGTAGCATGGAAAATGTGAGGAATTCCAGTCCTGGGAGTATTTGTTCATGGTTTTTAATTAAATTGCTTCAGGTATGCAATCATCCACACCTGCCATAACCTCTTTGCAACTGTACAGCCTCAGTGATGTAAAGGTACTGCATAAAAAACAAATTAGAAGAGGATGTGGCTGAAAATAACATGTTCTTAAGTTGGCCATCATTATACATAGTTTCACAGCACTGGCATAGTTGCAGTCCTGCCGTGACTTGCAGACTGTAGCTCCTCTGCAGCTAGTAGTTTAGCCAAGAACTATGGAGCTAAATCCTAACAGATCAAAAGACAGGTGTGAAACATGAATGACCTACTTCACTGCGTTTTATTTTTGTGGAGTCGTGTTTCTTTAAGAAACACCTATAAAACTGGGAACTGCAGGTTTAGGTGCAAGACTGTGAATTTAAAAAGCACATTCATATAAATACATTTTACCCATTAGATGAGAAAACTGTTCTGGCAGATTGTACTGCCTTTTTCAAAGAAATGACAAAACTTCCACATTCTTAGGACACGCTGCTTTTACAGGTTTTTATTGGGAGAATTTGTTATGCTGCACATGGAGCAGGCTACCCCTACTGCTGTGGCAGAGGAGGGATGAACTTGTACTTGGATGCTTACGAACACAGCAAACTATTGTAAAGAGTTTTCTCAGCAGTCCTTACGGTCAGGATAACATACACATTAATTCTCAGAAATACCATAAAACTTCTGCTCAGTCCACCACTACATTTAAGGTCTTTTCTGCTTGGAGCTGTGGGATTTTATTTATTTATTTATTTATTTTTGTGCTGCCACTGAAAGTGTCTCAGATGGTAAACATGAACTCGGTTATACTCTAGGCTACTGGAATAAATAATATTATGCCATTAGAACCACTCTTGCTTAATTCTGGGCTGGTTCACAAGCTGGAGCAGAAGTTTATTCACAGAATTAGGTTTGGGGCAGCACATATTTTGGTCTTGAATTCTTTCAGTGCAAGTAACACACTTTTACAATGCTAGACTATGTTTAGTTTCTTGCTTCCCAATTTGCTTGGTCAAGAAGCTTTGCCTACCTCAATAACTTACCTCAATAATAACACCTCACACGAAGATAAAGGGCACTTGAGAGTTAGGTGTTGCAATATTTCTCAGAGGTATTTTCACCTATATAGCTTTCTTATTGACCCAAGGTGAAGCTATTCTTGTTGCTATACATGTCTCTCCCATGACTATAAGTAAGAAGAAACTTTGGTGAAGCAGAAGTTAATACTCCAAAGTTATTACCCAAGTCAGATCTTCTTGGAAGAGAGCTCTTAAGACATAATTGAGCAGTTCAGGTGCAAGAAGATATAACATCAATTATTCATCATATTAAAATATTAATATTAACATATTAAAGCAGAGTTTTCTCTTTGTGTTTGCTCTTCATTTTGGCTGAAGTTAGCAACTTCAGCACTGCTACAGAATTGTGATAACTTGTTGCAAGGACAGAAGATTAGCAAAATACGAAGATACTGTTTCCGTGTAGCTACATTTCTGGCCACTGATACCAATAAACAGACACTTCTTCTAGCAGCATGTGCAAAGCAGATGGGATTAGAGAACAGCAGGCAGAGCGTGTCCTACTTTCCTGTAGCAACACAATTCTCAGGCGAGCTTAAGCAGCCCTTTCACCCGACGCCTTCCTAATCACTGTGCCCCAGTTGTGGGTATCCTGTGACCACTGCATGTGGAACCAGCACTGACTAACACTGGGCTCTGGCTTAAACCATGGGAATGGGGTGCCTATATCCTTCGGGGCAGCTGAGGTGAAGCTTTGCTCATGCAGCAAACCCACTTGTTAGTGACCCGACTCTAGGTAGAGGGAAGTGCATAGAGGAGGTGGAGGCTTGTATATGCACAGATGGAAAACTTTCCTGTCAGTTTGGCCGTAGCCGCTTCCAGGATTAGTGAATCAAGACATGAAGTTGAACGTTACCTTGTTGATGTCCCACAGAATCAATCGGCTCTGACGCTTGGCAAACTCACAGGCAGTCGCTCTCCCTATTCCATGGCCAGCACCTGTAATCAGCACAAGCTCTCCAGAGACTGATTTTCTCTTCACGGGAATAAAAAGCTTGAAAAACGCTTCTAAGTAGGAGTAGATTAGTACTGCTAAAAACAGC